TAATCCCAGCACTTTGGGAGGCTGAGGTGGGTGGATCACCTGAGGTCAGGAGTTCGAGACCAGCCTGACCAATATGGTGAAACCCCATCTTTAAAAAAAAAAAAAAAGTCACTGATTATTTTGCAGTTTGAATGGATTTTACTCATGTATAATTTTGTAATATCATGCATTAGGTTATTTGGAAATCAATGGTTTATTGAGTTAATGCAGATCCTCTAAATGTTGACATATTTAATTATATAACACTTTCAAAAGTTTATGAATTCAACCACCAATCTCATCAGAGGAATGTTTAGCTGTTGAGATAAACACTGTGGCAGATGTAAGTTTTAAAAATTCTTATTTTTGCTTGAAAACTTGAATTTTATATCACTGACAACAAATAGTTGTTTTCCTTGAAGTAATAGGTTTGTTATGTTCATTCTTAAGAAAATATCTGCCAAACACTCTCAAGTTTGAATAACCACAGTTTGTCTGTCAGTTGTTCTTTCAAGGTAGTCCATGAAAGAAGGAGCTAGTTCAGTTTCACAACTCAACTATTTCACAAGTATTTTTCTTTGAGAAAACCATCGTATTTTGTTACACAGCAGAAGTATTCTATGTGTACTTCCCATTTAATTACACAGAATTTTTAAGAAGACAGGTACTCCAGGGTTGAGATTTAATTTACTACATCACCAGGGGCATTCTTAAAGGGTCTCACCCTGTCACTCAGGTTGGAGTGCTGTGGCATGATTATGGCTCACTGCAGCCTCAACCTTGTGGGCTCAAGCAGTCCTCCCACCTCAGCCTCCTGAGTACCTGGAATCACAGGCACACACCACCATGCTCAGCTAATTTTTAAAATTTTTAGTAGAGACAAGGTCTCACTGTATTACCCAGACTGGTCTTGTAATCCTGAGCTCAGGTGATCCTCCTGCCTCAGCCTCCCAAAGTGCTGGAATTACAGGCATGAGCCACTGTGCCTGGTCTACCAAGGACATTTAAGTGAAACTCACCTAAAAACAACAATAACAATAAAAACCTCCTAGTACAATATGGTATCATGGCTTTGATTTATGCTAAGATGCAAGTAGTTTTAACCACTATTATTTATGAGGTGGGTGGATCAGTGCAATGTCAGTGCAAATGTCAACACAGTGAAAAAGACAAGTGTTTTTGTATTCTTATGAAAATTAACATTGGCATGATCACTATTTGACCTTACATGGACCATACTTTAAGAACCACTGGACTATTTTTAAAATTTAATTTTTAAAAATTTTAAATTGACAATTAATAATTGTATATATTTATGGGGTACAATGTGATATATACATATATATATATGCTGTAGAAAGATTAAAGTTAATTAACACTATCACCTCACCTATTTATCTTTTTTTGTGTGTGCTGAGAACATTTAAAATCTACTTTTTAAGCAATTTTGAAATATATAATATGTTATTATTAACTAAGCTCACCATGCTGTACAATAGGTCTTTAAAATTTACTCTTCCTGTCTAACTGGAACTTTGTACCCTTGGCAAAGATCTCTCCTTTCTCCAACCCCACCTCACCCCAAAGCCTCTGATTACCATCACTCTATTCTTTCCTCTGAGTTTGAATGTTTTAGATTCACTGGATTATTCATTATCCTTTTCTAGCTACATGTCCTGCTTCTGTTTGCCATCAACCTCATCTCTGTGACTTTGCATATATTGTTCCTTTGGTCTTTCCCAACCAGCTGGAAAAATCCTATTTGTCTCTGAAGATCTGCTTTGGATTTTATTCCTGAGAAGTTTACATTAAGCTATTTAATCACTCTGCACATTGTTTTAGCATTTATCCATTGAGGGTAGAGGGGCTATTAACATTTTTAAGCACCCAGTGTGTGCCAGACCCTGGGATAAGCTTTTTATATGTTTTCTAATGAAATTTTCAAATTACTTCTATGTGACAGGCATCTTTATAGCCTTGCACATTGAAGGAGCAGACAGATAGCTGAAGTCAAACCCAAGCCCATTATTTCAGGATAATGTTCCCCCTATTTGTTCCAGGGCCGGATGGCAAATACATGGCACAGTGAAGACACTCAATTTATAATCCTAAACAGTTAAATAAATGAACTTAGTAACAATCTAATCCTATAATGAAGGGCTCTAAAAAGTTCCTTATTTTCCAGAGCCTGCAGTCTGGCTTTTAGTATTTTTTCATTCTTCGTTCCTTACATACATTTTAGACTTGAAATATTCATTTACTTATAGAAAAACAGTATTTTCATTTCTTTTAGCAGTGTGCTCCCAGGTGTGGGATGGTAATTTAATGATCACATTGCCATCAAGCCTGAAACACAAATGTTGACATTTGATGGTAATGTTTTCCCTCTTAAAGTTGCTTCAAGTAAATACCAATGGTGTATCCAAGTAAATGAGGTAATTATTGAAAGAGCAAATGGTATATATTTTTTTAATATGCATATTCATGTTTTAAACTTTTCAGAAAGTTAATAAAAGCTATTGAATACCCTTTTTGTACTTAATCTGGGACATTATGAAATGTGAAATTCAAACGTGCCTTAAAGAAAAGCTTAATATCTCAATCACTGCTTTACTCGGACTATAGCATGTATCTTTAGAATGGTGGTGAAACCAGCATTTCTAAGTGTGACCCAAGGACCAGCAGCATCAGCATCATCCAGGAACTTGTTAGAAGTGCAAATTATCGGGACCCACCCCAGACCTACTGAATCAAAAACTCCAGAGGTGGGGCTCAGCAATCTGTTTTAATAGCTCTTTAGATGACTGTGGAACATGGTCAAATTTGAGAACCAATGGGCAAATGAACTGTGTTATTTGGATTCATGGATGTTTACTACAAAAAACAGACAAATTTTGGAAGACATGACTGGCCTATGTATAACCTAATTGTGAAAATAAAAGCTGTATAGTAAGGGGTCTGCCAAGCCCAGGGCCTGGGCTGCCCTCAAGCCTATATGCTGCAGCATGCAGCCAAACGAGGGAGTCTCATTCCACAGAAAGAAGCCAAATCATTTCTTGACTGTGCCTTCTAAGATGTGGAAAAATACACCACAGTGGTACTTAATCAGGAGTGAAGCCATGTAAAACTATCTACCATTCCCTCCTAGGTAACTCCAACCACGTGCTATTTAAATTGTCTCTTTTCTAAATAACACAGTCACCTGAAATACATGTTTTTTTGAGACAGAGTTTCACTCTTTTTGCCCATGCTGGAGTGCAATGGTACTATTTGGCTCACTGCAACTTCTGCCTCCTGGGTACAAGTGATTCGCCTGCCTCAGCCTCCCAAGTAGCTGGAATTACAGGTGCCTGCCACCACGCCCAGCTAATCTTGTATTTTTAGTAGAGACACGGTTTCACCACGTTGGCCAGGCTGGTCTCGAACTTCTGACCTCAGGTGATCCAACTGCCTTAGCTTCCCAAAGCGCTGGGATTACAGGCATGAGCCACTGCACCTGGCCCTGAAATACATGTATTTTATTACCACTGGAGTACATTCTGTCATTATATACATTACCATGGAATACAACATTCAACTACCAATGACAAGACTGTTCTTTCTAGGACTATATTACCACCATCCTAGTTGCTTTGTTACTACACGGATTTAAGGAAAACAGGGACTTGTTAGCATTTTGACAACTTGACAATTGGAGGTATGTAAAAAGCTCATTTTAGTAAAGAACGTATATAAAACTTACTAGCATCTTGCTAGGAAAAGCAAAAGCATTAAGTGTTCACTTCATTTTTTATTATACCTTTCTAAAGAAAAACTAGTAAATCTGCCCCACCCATCAGAGTTTGCTATCTTTGTAGGAAAGAAGGCCAGGCCAGGTAGAGGTTTACTTTAAGTCAGGAGGGAGAAGGACTCAGGATCAGATGAATGGAGTACTCAGGGCAAACAAATAAAAAGGACAGGAAGTATAGGGAAATCATCCTATTTGTCACAAACTTGGGATAAAAGTTCCTTATTTTTACTGACAATTAATTTTGTTTACAATATAAATAAGAAAGAAAAACTTAGGCTTCCTAAACATGTGTGTTTACGTGAATGATTACAAGTAAGATTATAACAACTTTGTTTGAGATCTTGTGTTTGTTAAGAATGCAATATTAGAAGGAGAATACATGCTTTAGAATGAGACAGATGGAAGTCTGAATTCCAGTTCTGGCAGTACTAGCTTTGTGACTCTGTCCAACTCTTAACTTCTCTGGTTTTCAGTTTCCTCATGTGAAGAATATAGCAAAATTTATAAGGATTAGAGATAAATATTTATTATATACCTAGCACAGAATAGGTGATCAATCAATAGTTACTAAGGTATTAAATAAAATGAATGCCTAGAGAACTGATTTGGGTATGCAATCTGCCTAGCTGAACTGAGGAGTATACTATTGATCTCACACTTAATACCCAACTTCTTCTATTTCACCCACATGCTAAATAACTATAAATTGCTTGCTTACCACCCTCCATTTTTTTCACAACACTTGGAAGGAGGACAGAAAGAGACAGCAATAAAAAAACAAATATTCCCTTAAAATAAGTAATGCATATAGAGATAATACCTTCATAAAAACAAAAAGAATTGCTGGAAGAGTTTTATTTCATTTACAGTGAGGGAAAGAACAGTACCACCCCTTATTCATTTGATCCTGTTTCTTCCTCACATTACCATCACATTTCAAAACAACATATTATTTATTGCTATTAAGGTGTTATGGATTTGCTTTTCTATGCTAAAGTCCAATGCAGCAGGCTACTTAAGCCAAAGATCCAGGGCTATAAACCTTGTTCAGTGCAATAAGATCACTTTAATACTATTCTAATCTCGGAATGCAGTTATAAAGATAGATGATGGCCACAGAGTGCTACTGACAAACAGAAATGGCTCTTATGCAATCTTAAAAGATATAAAAAACTTAGCACCTGAAAATGTGTTAAAAAATTCCCATATTCTGCCAGTCTATTTTACATACCTGAGAATCTTTTTAGGAATCAGTGATGGAGAAGAATGACTCCTCTTCTTCTTCTCTGAGTCCTGTGGTAACGCATTCTCTGCTTTACCCTTCTCCATGACTGCTGCCTGGTCTGCCCCAGCCTTGCTCTGATCCACACTGAGCTGGCCTTGAGCAGGGTCACACCTGTACATGAAGACAATGGCTGGTTTCTCACTGGACTCTCCTTTTGCCTCTGTGAACCAGTGGTGGCGCTGAACTGGGGGAGGAGGCAGCATGTGAATGACTGTGCCATCCAAGCCCACCAGCTTCCCTTTCTCTCGCTCTTTCTCTTTGTCATCTTCCTCGTCTGCTTTCCGACGGCGGAAGAAGCTTTTAAATGATATCCAGCGCTTAGGCTTTGCATCCGCTGCCCGCCTGCTGCCTTCAGAGTGCAAAACTGATTCAGCTTCTGTTGACCTGGTAGGGCTGGTTGGCTTGGTCCAGTTGGTGAAATGCCTCTGCAAAAGGTTACTTGCATGGTAAGGAGAGGAAGTAGAGCGTGGCGGGGGAAACGGTGGTGGTGGCTCACTCTGGGGGCTAGTCACTAATTTGGAGGGAGAGGGGGTGACTGGCTTTGTGGATGGGTCTTTCTGTATTTTGGTTGTGGGGCTGTCTGTGGTCTGAGGTGCTTCAGCCTCACCGCTAGGCTGAGATGTGAAGAGAGATTTGGGCCGGACTGGTGTACTCTTAGGTGTACTCTTAGCAACACCGGCATCTGGAGGAATGGCATAAGGCTCTTCCACGCTGCAAGCTTGAGGGCCAGACTGAGGTGTTTCCGGAGGAGACTGTGGGGGCTGGATTGAAGCCACAATCTGAGAAAGCACTGTGCTTGCTTTCTCTCTGCTGCTGCTGCTGCCGCTGCTGCCCACCTTCTGAGACTCCTGAGTCCCTTCTATTTTGGCCACAGGCTCTTGAGTGGTTCTCTGGATCTTTGCTGGGGAGCTGTGGCTGGAACTATAGCTTCTCTGTGGTGAAGGCTGACCTCTGTTGAGACAGTTGTTAAACTCTTGAACCTTCTGAGCCACTGAGCCCCTTTTGCGCTCTGTGCTGTTTGAAAACCCTCTAGTTTGAAGACATTCAGTGGTTTTGCTAGTGGTGTTATCAGACACTTTGCTTTCAGTTTCTATTTCTTCATAAGTATGGCTTATTACACTTGTGGTTTTTTCCTTCACAGAGAGTTCTCCACTTGTTCCCAGAAAACTTTTGTAGATGGCTAGATTGTCATATGCATTTGGATTGATAACAATGGGAACTTTGATAGCATTTTTGGAACTCCGAGCATACGTTGGCTCGTCATGAATGATAATTGGAAACGGTGGCATACCAGCATTGTTATAACTATTAAATTTAATTTCAGACAAATTAGGTGACTTAACAGGGATGGTTCTGGAGGAAACGTTTGTAGCTGTGGGAGAAGTAGGTGCTGATTTGTGACAGTTTTTCCTTGGAGGAACATTTGGTCCAGTTCCACTAGTAATTAGTTCCACTTTAGGTATTTTTTGTCGTGGACTGGTGCTAGAAGTCCATACTTCCTGGTATCGAATTGCACTGGATTTTTGGAAATGAGCACTTATTTGTCCTGGTGTCCATGAAGATGATGTCACTGGTGAGTTTGGCGTAGAAGATGAGCCTTTTTTCTTGGGGCTGTTAACAGGGCCCTCGAGGTGCTCGCTGGCCATGGCTGCTGACACATCCACGACAGTATATGGCTTGCACAATGGCTGTTCCAGATTCACAACTCGGTAGGGTTTTGCTTGCTCTTCTGTGGGGACGAGGTTTATGGTCACTGCGACATCTGTAGAGGCTTTACTTTCTTCCTTCTCAGTTTGTACAGCGATCTTGCCATCCTTCTCTTCTAATCGGAGAGCAAGGACTGCTTTGTGGGTCTCTGGAACTTTTATGGGACTTTTGGAAGCTTGTGATGCATCTTTATCCTGATTATTACTAGCAGGACTTTCATAACTGGGCTCAATTTCCTTGCTATCCTTAGAGTCTCCTGGGTTACCAGGAGATACTCCCCCATTAAAAATCTTCTGGGATAAACTACTGGCTGTCTCAGAACGTGATTCTTCTGTTAAAGAAGAATCTGGTGATGTGGAGTCAGATGACACCATGCTCTGAATGCTTCCTTGTCCATAAGAGACCACAGAATTTTCCTCATAACCATTCAGGATTTCATCATAGCTGTCATCATAGTCCACAGCACAGATTCTCTGCAGAGATTTGTTTCGCAGGGGGATGGTATTCCATTTTTTGTTCACAAAGAATCGAACAGGAGACAAAGTATTTGCTCTGAAGTTGGCAAAGCGGGGTTGCCCTCTCATGCGAATCTCCATGGCCAACAGCTCTTCATCACTCTCATCCCAGCTCTCGTGCTCCTCATCCATGTTACTGAAAAGCACATCCTCTTCACTCTCCTCGCCACTGGAAAACTCTGGGTAACAGAACCGGCCCCCTTCGTTACTAATCACTTCTGTGCTCCCAGTCAGAATAACATGCTTGCCCTGAGTATCCTTTATCCCACCAATCATGCAACTTGGTGGAAGTTTTCTTTCCAATGATCGTTTATAGCAATCATTTATTCTTCCTAAGAATGTTTCTCTGGAGTTTGCTTCATTTCCTCTAATCTGAGGGGCAGTATCCAAGCCTGCTATCTCCTTTAACACTTCAGTTAGTCCATTATTGTTATTCGACACTTTCTTTGCACTATCATTATTGCCGTAAGGATTAGGAACATGGCCAATTCCGTCATCATCTTCATTATTATTGTTAAGTGGTTTCTGACTCAAGGCAGCTCTGTTTCGGTTCCACCCTATGATGACAGGTTTGTTCTCACAGTGTTCTTGGATGCTAAGCTCACCACATATACTTTGCCCATCTGCCACCATCATAGTGGGCTTCACAGCTATGGTGGGTTTTTTAGCCACAGGAGGCCGGAAATTTCCGGTGTTCCTGAGTCGGTGGTTGTTACTGTGATTGGCGTTGGTTTTCACATTGCCATGGGTGATGGGTGCCTTCTCAGGGTCTGGGGGTAGCTGGTGCAAACTTTTAGGTTTAAAGCAATTCTTGCATTCACCAGGTTTCCAAACATGTTCAGTAAAGGTGTTACAAGCAGACATTTTTAAAAATAGAACTTCACAGACAACGCTTTTCTTTCAGTGCATGACAAAACTTTCATTTGTTCGTTTTCACTTCCCCTATGTGTTACAGCAGCTCTTCTAAGAATGATCAATCTGTGGGGGGAAGGGGGAAGAAGACAAAAAAACTGAATGAAAAAGGCACTATGAGACTTACACTAGTGACTTTAAAATATTGACTCTACTCCTTAATTTTTCCTTAAATTAAAAGATTGAGAGCTAAACTAATTTGGGTACTTCGTAATTTACCTTTAGCCAATCAGTATATTGGAAAGTGAGCTTTTAACCATAATTTTATGCATGCTTATCAAACCATACATAATATTCAGCTTGATGTCTCTGTTGCAATGATTCTATGACCTTCCCTCTGAGAAATGCCTTTGATACTGCTCCTTTTGTTTTCCACCAATTTATCTAACACTTACCAGCCCACTATAGATTCCTCTTCTTTCACCTACCCTAGAACTTTTTAGACATTTCATAGATTCCTCAAACTCAATGCATTGAAAATGAAGCCTCGGGGCTGGGTGTGGTGGCTCATGCCTGCAATCCCAGCACTTTGAGAATACCTGAACCATTTACCTGGGCCAAGGTGGGAAGATCACTTGAGCCCAGGAGTTCAAGACCAGCCTTGCTAACAGATAAAAGCCTCTCTCTACAAAAAATACTAAAATTAGCTGGGTGTGGTAGTGCATGCCTATAGTCCCAGATACTTGGGAAGCTGAGGCAGGAGGCTTGTTTGAGCCTGGGAGGC